GAAGAAGAAGATGACAAAAATTGAGCTCACATGTCAGTGAAGAATGGAAGAAGAAGATGACAAAAATTGAGCTCAAATGTCCCACGTGTGTCACATGTGGGAGCGCTGTGTGTCCCACGTGTGTCACATGTGGGAGTCGTGTGTGTCCCACGTGTGTCACATGTGGGAGTGGTGTGTGCCCCACGTGTGTCACATGTGGGAGTAGTGTATGTTGCACTTGTGTCACATGTGGGATTGGTGTGTGTTGCACGTGTGGCACATGTGGGAGACACATGTGGGATTGGTGTGTGTACACACGTGTGTGAGTGGTGTGTGTGGCACACGTGACGCGTACACACGTATGAAGGCTAGAACCGAAAGGTAACCGCAGCTAGAATAGGGAGGGAACCGGCGGTTCTACTCTGGAACCCGAGCGGTTCTCGAATTTTGTGCTGGAATTGCACAGCCTGTGCTGATTCCCGAGTCGAATCGGGCGAGTCCGGTTCGACTCGGTGATTTTTAAATCATTGAACGAATCAAAATGTGAAAGTGAATAATGGAAGAAGAAGATGACAAAAATTGAGCTCACAAAAATTGAGCTCACATGTCCCACGTGTGTCACATGTGGGAGTGGTGTGTGTCCCACGTGTGTCACATGTGGAGTGGTGTATGTCTCACGTGTGTCATATGTGGGAGTGGTGTGTGTTGTACATGTGTCACATGTGGGATTGGTGTGTGTTGCATGTGTGGCACATGTGGGATTGGTGTGTGTCGCATGTGGGACGCATACACACATGTGGAAGTGGTGCGTGTGGCACGCGTGATGCACAAATGTGCGTGTGGCACGTGTGGGAGTGTGTACGGCCGTGTCACACATACACACGTGTGTGAGTGGTGTGTGTGGCATGCATGACGCGTACACACGTGTGAAGGCTAGAACCGAGAGGGAATCGGCTAGAACCGGGAGGGAACCGATTGTTCTGTTCTGGAACCCGGTCGGTTCTAGATTTTGTGCTGGAACCGGCACGGCCTGTGCCGATTCCCGAGTCGAACCGAGCGAGTCCGGTTCAACTCGGCGATTTTTAAATCATTGGACCAATCAAAATGTGAAAGTGAAGAATGGAAGAAGAAGATGACAAAAATTGAGCTCACAACCATAAAAAAACCAAAAAGGGTTACTGTTTCCCTTTCATGAAATTGGGAAAACAGGCACATTTCAGGTATTCCTTACAAATACATGTAGACACCCTTTTCCAACTGAAGGAATTCCATTAAACTAAATGCCCTTGAAACCATAGGAACCTGACTTGAGAACCCTTCCCAACCAAAAGCCCAAATTTTGTCTCAAGAAAAACCCATTTCGCCGGTCTCTAGAACCCCATTAAACCATCTTAATTTATCTTAGGGTAGTGATTTCATGCAACGGTTGTATCATACTATGATGCAACCACATTTTTAGAAAATCATGTTTATGGTATCTGTATGATTCAAAATTTTACACACGCACTCTCTTCATCTCAATAATCATTATAAAAATAAAAAAAAATTCAATTTGAACCTTAGACATGGTCAAAATGAGTCTCATTCAACAATGAATCTAGACCATTCATTTAGTGAATTTTAAGATCTTAGCCTTTAGAAACTCAAAATCATTTTTATCTTTTTTAACATTATCTATCTAATGATAATAAAATCAGCTAAAACATCAAGAAAGATGGGTATTTTTCAATGAAAAATTGGATATATCAATGGTATTCTAAATTTTTTTTTACCTATATATTGAATTTAACTTTAGGCATGTTGCTAAAGACTTCTCTAATTTCTCATGAGCGACTAAAAATCTGATAAAATTGATTTCAAGAGCTAAAAACTAAAATTTTACTTCCTAAAATTATCACTATACTTGATTTAAAAAATCTTTGGCCAAAACACAAATGGAAAAAAATTGTATAGTTTGTTAACGTTATACTTTAGATAGGTCCCACCTCAAAAACCCATCATAAATCGCTGTTTTTGAAAACCCTCCAATTCGTCATTTAGACTTCGAGATACATGGATACGAAAGATAATAATTTTAAGTCCTTAAGATTAATACATGGGTTATAATTATTTGGAATGTCTATTTTCAATATTTCAAGTCTGGGTGCGGTTTGTATAGAGCCTAGCCTCTAAAGAATCAAATTAGAGCCTACCTTCAAATAGTGTTGAGAAATGTAGTTTCAATATTAAAAATCTTTGTGATAACCTTAAAATATATTTTTATCTTTATTTATAAAATTTAAGGCTTAAAAATAGTGTAGATCGACAGATCTATAAAAACTTTAAAATCTTGAAAATTGATGGTCCAAAAATACATTATAAACTACACTATTTCTAAAACTTAAAATCCATTTTTTCTCATGTTCATGCATCTTGATGTCGAGATAATCAATTTGAGGATATTTTGGGATCAAAACAATCTCTTCTAGTGAAATTTTTGAGGTAGGCTCTAATTTGATTGTTCAGACCCTCGGCTCTATATAAACTTTTCCCTTTAAGTATTTATAATTCTTTTTAGGGTGCCGTTTCTATAAGGTTACAACCTTAAACAATCCAATTAAGGCACACCTCCAAATGTTATCATAACATGTAATTTTGTTGTAAAAAATTATTATGATTATTTAAAAATCTTTTTTCATATCTAATTAAAAAATTTCAAACTCCAAAAATAGTTAAAATCAAGGAGATCTATAAACATATTAAAATCTTGAAAATGGACGGCCTAGATAATTTGTTGCAAGATGCATTATTTATGCGATCAAAAACTTTTTTTCTTATATTCATACATCTTGACGTCGAGATGATCAAATAGACGGTTTTTCAACATTAAAACAACCTTTCTGATAGATTTGAGGTGCATATGTAATTCTATATTTTAAGGTTGCAACCTTATATAAACTTTGAGTAATGATCCTATGAGACCCTCCCACACCCATGTGTGTAGGACCTCAAATGATCACCATTAAATTTGACACAGGTCTCTAAAAAAGTTATCGCATGGGTGTGGGACTTGACTTTTCTAAAGATCGGTCCTAAATTTAATAGTGATCTTTTAAGGTCTTACACACATGGGTGTGAAAGGATCTCATAGGATCATTACCCATAAACTTTTCATTTCTTTTTAATCTTCCCTTTTTTTCAAGTTTTAAATTTCATAATTAAGAGTAAAGACATATTTTCAAGACAACAAAAAGTTTTCTAATGCTAAAACTTTATTTACTGGTAGGATTTGGAGTTGCACCGCATGATTGTTAAGGAGGGCCCTTTCATAAAACCACACAAAAAAAAAGAAAAAAGAAAAAAGAAGAAAAAATAGTCTTGTGGCAGCAGAACATATCCATGCCGCGAGAATACAATAGCAGATTTCCCTTTAAAAATAATTATTTGTATTTATGTTTTATTTGGGTATTTTTCAGAAAAATCCGATTAATATTATAGGAATTTAAACATAATTATTTATATTTATGATTTATTTTAAGAAATTTACAGAAAAATCTGATTACCATTATAGGAATTTCAATATAATTATTTATATTTATATTAGGCTCCGTGCTTTCCAAATTTAGACTTGAATGTTAAATATAAAATGGGTGCAGTTTGTTTGTATAGAGCTGAGGCTCTAAACAATCAAAGTAGAGCGTCCCTTCAAAAGGTGTCTAGAAATGTGGTTCAATACTAGAAAACTTTTGTTATAGCCTTAAAATATGTTTTCATGTCTAATTATAAAATTTAAAGTTTAAAAAATAGTGTAGATCGAGAAGATATATGAAAACTTGAAAATTTTGATAATTGACGGTCCAAAAATACATTACAAGATGCACTATTTTTAAAGCTTCTAATCCATTTTTCTTCTAAAGCTTCTAATCCATTTTTCTTTCTCATGTTCATACATTTTGATGTGGAGATGATCAATTTGAGGATATTTGGGCATCAAAACAACCTCTTCTAGTGAAAATTTTGAGGTGAGTGCTTATATGATTTTTTTTATATAATATATTAGTCTATTTTTAGTTGAATCCCTATTTTATATTATTTATAAGTAATGGGTAAGGAAACTAAATTTAATCTAGCATATATTAATAAATTAAAAGGAAAATATCTCTATTTTTCAATTTTTAGGTTTCATTTTACAATAGATCTAAAGTTTTAAAAGATATCTTGAGGGCATAAAAATTTGTAGATTTATTTCTTCAAACCCTTTTAATTAATTTAAATTTTTTTTTAGGCTACTAAATCTGAAAAGACATGTCTATTTTAAAAACCATCCTCCCAAACTTCTAGAGAGAAAAAAAAAAGTTTCATAAAAGTGAGAGATTGTTGGGATGAGAGAGAAGTGTTTGAAAAAACTTATAGAGAGAGTGATAGACCCTAGAAGAGAGAGAAAGAGAGAAATTAAAGATATATAGATAAAGAGAGAAAATATTGGATTTAGAGGGAATATGTCTTTTTTATTTTTATTTAAGTAGAGAAATAAGTAGTAGAGAAATAAGTCTAAGTAGTGAGAGGGATTGAAAAGATATCTTTTGAAATCATGAAGTTGGAAGATATCTTTTGATATGTTGAGTTTATTAATAAATGAATTTTTTGATATCTTGAGTTTATCAATAAATGAATCCTCAAAATAAGAGCTGTAGAGATATTTTTTGGAAATTAAATTAAAATCCTAAATTTATTCCAACGTATATTAATAAATTAAATTAAAATAGGTCACTTGGCTGTAAAAACGTTTCAAATTCGGATAAAGAAATGAAAATTTTCAAAAAAATTCCCTTTTTTTTTTTCTCAGTTTTTTTACGTCTGCCCCTTTAAATACCTATATATTTGTTTTACGAGACCGCTTTTTACCTGAGAAACCCTGAGTTTCAGTCTCCAAGACTGCTCTCGTTCTACTGGTAATGACTCTTTCCCCGAACCCATGTAAATTGCGCTTTCTTTTTCTTCTTCTCTATTTTTCAAATGCAAGGTGAGTATTTTTAACTGGAAAAAGATTAGTTTAATTAAAATTTGTTCTTTCATAGTGGGAATTAAGGTCCATGAATTTGTAGATTACTTAATCAGATGAATGCAATTGCTTTGGAGGAAACACTGCTCTTTAAGGGTTTATTTTTGTTAGGAAACTGAATGCAATTTCTTTTTTTGGTTAATCTTTAATTGAAGGTATTTTTTTGGCCGATTCATCTGAATTGGGATTGTTTGAAAATTCTCGTGTGTCAGATTTTTTCTGACAAAAAGGTGATTTTTTTTCCTTTGTTGTGCACAAACTTAATGCAGGATATCTGTTTGCCGGAAAACTTTTGTAATTGCCTGAAAATTGTTTTTTCACTGGAAAATTCTTGTAATTGCTGGAAAATTGTTGATGTGAGGTATATCTGAAACTTGATAGTTTGATAATTCTGGTGTGTCAGAGTTTTTTCTGATAAAAAAAGGTGATTTTTTTATCTTTGTTGTGCACAAGGTTAATGAAGGATATCTGTTTGCCAGAAAACTTTTATAGTGGCCTGAAAATTGTTTTGTTCACTGGAAAATTCTTATAATTGCTGGAAAATTGTTGATGTGAGGTTTGCTTGCCTGAAACTCTACTTGTTTTTGGTGTCTATTAAAACCTGAATTCTTTAGAGTAGCTTACAATGGGAATAATAGTATCACTAGGGTCTTCTTCATTTTTTTTGTTGGTGTTTTGTCACCGCGATAAAGTTTTAGAGCTTTTGCTGTTTCAGAAGGGCCTTTATGAAGTTCTGGTTATTCTTTTCTTGATAGAGAAACTGCATTGTAGGGTTTCTTGACTTTCAACAAACTATTTTGCAGTTCTGTCTCCTTAAAGCTCCTTGGGCTACTATCAGAGTAGAAGATTTCTAGTTCTTTTTGCTTGAGAAAACTTATTTCAACTTGGAAGCATAATTCTACTGTTTGATGGTAAAATTCTCTGTATTTAACTTTTGATGCCATGCATTTTTCCCTGGAGCTTTTCTTTCTCTGTCCTGATATTCTGATTTCACTGCTAGAAAACCAAGAGAGTCGAAATCTTTTTGAAACGATTCCCTTTTTGTTTTATGAAGTGGCTTGAATTTCTTAGAACCTTTGAATTGAGCTGAGAATGACATATTTTGCCTGTATCTTGTTCTTTCATGATTTCTTACAATTGTCATATACATACTCTTAGATGAGAGAGAGAGAGAGAGAGAGAGAGAGAGAGAGAGAGAGAGAGAGAGAGAGAGAGAGAAGTAAGTAAGTAAGTAGTACGTACGTACGTACGTACGTACGTACGGTACGTCGGTCGGTCGGTCGTACGTCGTACGTACGTACGTACGTACGTACGTACGTA